CTGGCAGGACCCATCACCTGCAAACTAAGCCCTTGGGCCCTGAATAACCAGCAGCAATACCTAGGTAAATGCTGTGGGCCTTGAGTGAGACTCTGTAACACATTCCAGTTTCAGGTGAGATCAGCCACATTCCCAGGTGTGGTGGCTCTGGTGAGAGACTCCTTCTGAGAAAATCAGAAGGAAAAGTAAATGGGACTTTGTCTTGTACTTTAAGTACCAGGTTGGCCACAGCAGGGTAGAACACCAAGTGAGCTTTTAGGGTCCCCAATTCCAGGACTTGACTCTTGGATGATATTTCTGGACCTGCCTTAAGCCAGAGGCAGGAGAATCACTTGAACCCAGCAGGCAGAGGAGAGCCCACTTCGCTGAAGTGTTAGCCTCAGGCCTGTCAGCATTCACTGCAAGCTGACGGAAGAGACCTTTGGCCATAGGTGAACACTGTTAGTAACCTGGCAGTACTTCCTATGGAACTGGTGGTGGTAGCCACAGACTGAGGCTCCTCTGCCTGTAGAAAGGAGAGGGAAGAGTGAGAGGGACTGCATTTTGTGGTTTGAGTGCCAGCACAGCTACAGAACAATGTAACTCCAGGTAGATTTCTAGGGTTTTTTACTCCAGTCCCTGGCTTAGGGAAAAGATCTCTGGACGCACCTGGGGCCTGAGGGAACTTCTTTCCCTGAAGGGAAGGATGCAAGCCTGGCTGGCTTCACCTACTGCTAATTGTACAGCCCTAGGACCTTGAGCAAACATAGGCAATAGCCAGGTAGTGGTTACAGCAGGCTTTGGCCAAGCCCCAGTGCTTTGCTGGCTTCAGGTCTGACCCAGCACAATCCCAGTGGTTGTGGCCACTGAGGTGCTAGTGACACCCCTTCTCCAGCTCCAAGCAGCTCAGAACAGAGGGAGAGAGGGAGGCAGGGGAGAGAGAGAGAGAGAGAGAAAGAAAGAAAGAGAAACAGTAAGAGAGAGAGAGAAAAAAAAACTCTGGGAAAAAGTAAGGTAAGTCTGCCTGGTCGTCCAGAGAATTCTTCTGGGTCTAATCCAGACCACCAAGGTGCCCCCCAATGCAGATATAGCTTATATTACAACACCAAGCCATTTCAAATATCTGAAAAGCCTTCACAAGAATGGGTGCAAACAACCCAGCCTGCAAAGACAACAATAAAAAAACTAATTCTTTTTTTTTTTTTTTTTTTTTGAGATGGAGTTTCGCTCTTGTTACCCAGGCTGTAGTGCAATGGCGTGATCTTGGCCCAGCCAAAAAACTAATTCTTTAATGCCCAGACACTGACAAACATCCATAAGGATCAAGGCCATCCTGGAAAACACAACTTCACTAAATGAACTAAATAAGGTACCAGGGACCAATCCTAGAGAAACAGAGCTATGTAACCTTTCAGAAAGAGAATTCAAAACAGCATTTTGAGGAAATGCAAATAAATTAAAGATCACACAGAGAAAGAATTCAGAATTCAGTCAGATAAATTTAATGATGAAATTGAGATAATTAAAAAGCAGAAAATTCTGGAGTTGAAAAATGCAATTTACATACTGAAGAATGCATCAGAGTCTTTAATACTAGAAATGATCAAGCAGAAGAATGAATTAGTGAGCTTGAATAGGGGCTAATTCAAAAGAGATAGAGGAGACAAAAGAAAAAAAAGGGTAAAAAGAATGTAGCACACCTACAAGATCAAGAAAATAGCCTCAAAAGAACAAATCTAAGTTAATGGCCTTGAAGGGGAGGTAGAGAAAGAGAGGGGTAGAAAGTTTATTCAAAGGGATAATAACAGAAAACTTCCCAAATCTAGAGAAAGGTATCCATGTCCAAGTACAAGAATGTTATAGAACACCAGACAGATTTAATCTAAAGAAACCTACCTAAAGGCATTTAGTAGTCAAACTCCGAAAAGTCAAGGATAAAGAAAAGCAGCAAGAGAAATTACTTAAAACTTAAATTAACTTAAAAGCAGCAAGAGAAATAAAATGAATAGCATACAATGGACCTCCAATACATCTGGTAGCAGATGTTTCAGTGGAAAGCTTACAGGCCAGGAGAGAGTATCATGACATATTTAAAGAGCTGAAGGAAAAAATATTTTACCCTAGAATACTATATCCAGTGAAAATATCCTTCACACGTGAAGGAGAAATAAAGATATTCCCAGACAAAGTCTGAGGGATTTCATCACTACCAGACCTGTCTCACAAAAACATTCTAAAGGGAATTCTCCAGTCAGAAATAAAAAGATGGGCCAGCCATGGTGGCTCACACCTGCAATCCCAGCACTCTGGGAGACCAAGGCGGGTGGATCATTTGAGGTCTGGAGTTCAAGACCAACCTGACCAATGTGGTGAAACCCCATCTCTACCAAAAATACAAAAATTAACCAGGTGTGGTGGCACATGCCTATAGACCCAGTTACTCAGGAGGCTGAGGCAGGAGAATCCCTTGAACCCAGCAGGCAGAAGTTACAGTGAGCTGAGATCATGCCATGGCAACAGAGAGAGACTTCATCTCAAAAAATAAAAAAATTAAAAAAGAAATAGAAGGATTTTCGCCTGTAATTCCAGCACTTTGGGAGGCCAAGGTGGGAGGATCACTTGAGGTCAGGAGTTCAAGACTAGCCTGGCCAATATGGTGAAAGAGTGTCTCTACTAAAAATATAAAAGTTAGCTGGGCGTGGTGGCACACACCTGTAATCTCAGATACTCAGTAGTCTGAGGCATGAGAATCACTTGAATCTGGGAGGCATAGGTTGCAGTGAGCCAAAATGATGCCACTGTACTCCAGCCTGGGTAACAGAGAGAAACTCAGTCTCAAAAAAAAAAAAAAAAGAATGTTAATGAGCAATAAGAAATCATCTGAAGGTACAGAACTCACTGGTAGTAGTCAGCACACAGAAGAACACAGAATATTATAACACTGTGATTCTGGTGTATAAACTACTCTTAGGTAAAAAGACTAAAAGAGGATCCAATAAAAAAATAGCTACAAGAAATTTCAAGACATAGAAAGTACAATAAAATATAAATAGAAAAAACAAAAACTTAAAAAGTAAGGAGACAAAGCTGAGGTGCAGAGTTTTTTTATTAGTTTATGTAAACTGTTAAATTGCTATTAGCTGGGCCGGGTGCGGTGGCTCAAGCCTGTAATCCCAGCACTTTGGGAGGCCGAGGCGGGCAGATCACGAGGTCAAGAGATCGAGACCATCCTGGCCAACATGGTGAAACGCCGTCTCTACTAAAAATACAAAAACTAGCTGGGCGTGGTGGCGTGCACCTGTAGTCCCAGCTACTCGGGAGGCTGAGGCAGGAGAATTGCTTGAACCCAGGAGGCGGAGGTTGCAGTGAGCCGAGATCGCCCCACTGCACTCCAGCCTAGGGGAAAGAGCAAGACTCTGTCTCAAAAAAAAAAAAAAAATGCTATTAGCTAAATGTAATGGGTTATAAGATAGTATTTGCAAGCCTCATGATAACTTCAAATCAAAAAACATATAATAGATACATAAATAATAAAAGGCAAGAAATTAAATCATACCACTAGAGAGAATCACCTTCACTGAAAGGAAGACAGGAAGAAAGGTGGGAAGGAAGAAAAGACCACAAAACAACCAGAAAGCAAGTAACAAAATGGCAGGAGTAAGACCTTACTTATCAGTAACAACATTACAGGCAAATGGACTAAACCCTGTAATCAAAAGACATAGATTGGTTAAATGGATAAAAAGCTAAAACCCAAAGATCTATTGCCTATAAGAAACACTGTTCATCTATAAAGACACACGTAGACTGAAAACAAAAAGATGGAAAAAGATATTCCATGCCAATAGAAACTAAAAAAGAGCAGGACTAGCTATACTTACATCAGATAAAATAGATTTCAAGACAAAAACTATAAGGAGAGACAAAAAGATCACTATATAATGATAAAGGTCAATTCAGAAAAGGGATATAAGTTATATACACATTCTTTTCCTAAGCACATTGACTATTCTCAAGAATAGACCATATGTTAGGTAAGAAAACAAGTCTTAAAACATTTTTAAAAAATGAAATATCAAGCATCTTCTCTGACCACATGGAATAAAACTAGAAATCAATAACGAGGAATTTTGAAAACTATACAAACACATGGAAATTAAACACTATGCTGCTGAATGACCGGTGGGTCAATGAAGAAATTAACTGAGAAATTTCTCATAACAAATGACAATGTAACACAACATACCGGAACTTGTGGAATCCTGCAAACCTAGTACTAAGAGGGAAGTTTATAGCTTTAAGTGCCTACATCAAAAAAGAAGAACAATTTTAACTTAACAATGTATGTTAAGGAACTAGAAAAGCAAAAGCCATCAAACCCAAAATTAGTAGAAGACAAGAAATAAAAATCAGAGCAGAAATAAAATTGAGAAAAACATTACAAAGGATCAACAAAACTAAAAGTTTGTTTTTTGAAAACACAAAATTGACAAATCTTTAGCCAGTCTAAGAAAAAACAAGACCCAAATAAAATCAGAGATTAAAAAGGAGACATTACAACTGATACTGCAAAAATTCAGAGGTTTATTTGTGGCTACTATGAACAACTTTATGCCAACAACTTAGAAAACCTGGAAGAAATTGATAAATTCTTAAACACATACAACCTACCAATATTGAGCCATGAAGAAATCCAAAACCTGAACAAACCAATAACAAGTTGCATCACAGGACTCTTTACAGACATTCCCCAGCACCAGCCCAGAGCCTGATACTCCTGCTGGGTGACTAGATCTAGAAGAGCAATAACTATCCCTGCAGTCAGGCTCCCAGGAATCCCCATCCCAGGGGAAGGGGAATTGCACCATATCAAAGGATCACTGTGTGGGTTGAAAGACTCTGAACAGCAGCCTTTGAGTTCCAGATTTTTCCACTAAAATAGTCTACCCAAATGAGAAGGAATCAGAGAATTCTAGTAATATGACAAAACAAAGTTCTATATCACTCCCAAAAGGCCACACTACACTAACTCCCCAGCAATGGATCCAAACCAAGAAGAAGTCTCTTAATTGCCACGTATATAATTCAGGTTAAGCTACTGAAGGAAATACCAGAGAAAGGTGAAAAGAAACTTAATGGGGAAAAAAAAAACAGGATATGAATGAAAAATTCTCCAGAGAAGTAGATATTAGGAAGAAAACACAATCACAACTTCTGGAAATGAAAGACACACTTAGAGAAATACAAAGTTCCCTGGAAAGTGTCAACAATAGACTAGAACAAGTAGAAGAAAGGACTTCAGGGCTCAAAGATAAGACTTTCCAATTAATCAGACAAAGACAAAGAAAAATAAATTTTAAAAAATGAACAAAGCTTCTAAGAAATTTGGGATTATGTTAAATGCCAAAACCTAAGAATAATTGGTGTTCCTGTGAAAGAAGGGAAATCCAAAAGTTTGGAAAATGTATTTGAGGAAATACATTTGAGGAAATACAAGGAAAACTTTCATGGCCTCACTAGAGATCTAGACATCCAAATACAAGAAGCTCAAAGAACACCTGGGAAATTTATCACAAAAAGATCATCATCACGTAGGCACACAGTCATCAGATTATCTAAAGTCAAGAAGGAAAGAATCTTAAGAGCTATAAGGCAAAAGCATCAGGTAAGCTATAAAGGAAAACCTATCCCTAACAGCCAGCTTCTTAGCAGAAACTCTGCAAGACAGAAAGGATTGGGGTCCTATCTTTAGCCTCCTCAAACAAAATAATTCCAGCAAGAGTTTTGTATCTAGCAAAACAGCTTCATAAATGAAGATAAAAGTCTTTTTCAGGAAAATGCTGAGAGAATTTTCTACTATTAAGCCAAGACTACAAGAACTGCTACAAAGAACTCTAAATCTTGAAAGAAAACCTCAAAAATACACCAAAATAGAATCTCCTTAAAGCATAAATGTCACAGGGCCTATAAAACAATAACACAATGAAAAAAGGTATTCAGGCAACAACTAGCATGATGAATAAAACAGTACCTCACATCTCAATGCTAACATTAAATATCAGTGGTCTAAGTGCTCCATTTAAAAGATACAGAATGCAAGAATGGATAAGAATTCACCAACCAATTATCTGCTATCTTCAAGAGACTCAGCTAACACATAAAGACATAAAATTAAGGTAAAGGGATAGAAAAAGATATTCCATGCAAATGAATGCCAAAAGCAAGCAGGAGTAGCTATTCTTATACCAAAAGTAGCAACAGTTAAAAAAGACAAAGAGAGCATTATGTAATGATAAAAAGATCAATCCAATAGGAAAATATCACAATTCTATGCACTTAACAGTATATCTCACAAATTTATAAGACAGTTATTAGACCTAAGAAATGAGATAGATGGCAACACAATAATACTGGGGGACTTTAATACTCTACTGATGGCACTAGACAGGTCATCAAGACAGAAATTCCAATATACTTAAACTATACCCTGGAACAAATGGACTTAATAGATATTTACAGAACATTCTACCCAACAACTACAGAATATACATTCTTTTCATCGGCACATGGAACATTCTCCAAGATAGACCATATGATAAGCCACAAAACAAGTCTCAATAAATTTAAGAAAATCAAAGTGATATCATGTGCTCTCTCAAACCACAGTGGAATAAAATTATGAATTAACTCCAAAAGGAACCCTCAAAACTATACCAATACATGGAAATTAGATCATCTGCTCCTGAATGACCCTTGGGCCAACAATGAAATCAATAAGGAAATTAAAACAGTTTTTGAACTCAATGATAATACTGACACAGCTTATCAAAACCTCTGGGATACAGCAAAAGCAGTGCTAAGAGAAAAGTTCATAGCATTATATGCCTACATCAAAAAGTCTGAAAGAGCACAGACAATCTAAGGTCAAAACTCAAGGAGCTAGAGAAATAAGAACACAGAAAATCAAACTCAGCAGAAGAAAAGAAATAATAACAAAGATCAAAGCAGAATTAAATGAAAGTGAAACAAAAATTACAAAAGATATATTAAACAGAAAGCTGCTTCTTTGAAAATATTAAAAAATATATGGACCATTAGCGAGAGTAACCAAGAAGAGAAATCCAAATAAGCTCAGTTAGAAAAAAAATGGATAATACTGCAACTGATATCACAGAAATACAAAAGATTATCCACAGCTACTATGAACACCTTTATTTGCACATACTAGAAAACCTAGAGGCAATGAATAAATCCCTAGATATATGCAATCCTCCTAGATTAAATCAGGAAGAAATAGAAACTCTGAACAGACCAATAACAAGTAGCGAGATTGAAACAGTAATAAAAAATTTACCAATTAAAAAAAGTCCAGGACCAGATGGATTCACAGCTGAATTCTATCAGACATTCAAAGAAGAATTGGTACCAATCTTAAACTATTCCAAAAGATAAAGAAGGGGAAATTCTCCCTAAATCATTCTTTCTTTTCCCTTCCTTTCCCTTCTCTTCTTTTCTTTTTCTTTCTTTCTTTCTTTTTTTTTGGGGGGTGGGGGGGACAGGGTCTCACTCTGTTGCCCAGTCTGGAGTGCAGTGGTGCAATCTCAGCTCACTGCAACCTCTGCCTCCCAGGCTTAAGTGATCCTTCTGCCTCAGCCACCCAAGTATCTGGGACCACAGGCACATGCCTCCATACCTGGCTAGTTTTTTGTATTTTTGGTAGAGGTAGGGTTTCACTGTGTTGCCCAGGCTTTTCTCAAACTCCTGAGCTCAAGCAATCCACCCACCATGACCTCCCAAATTGCTGGGACTACAGGCATGTACCATGGCATCTGGCCCCTTTCTAAATTATTCTGTGAAGCCAGTATCACCCTGATACCAAAACCAGGAAAGGACATAATGAAAAAAGAAAGCTACAGATCAATATCCCTGATGAACATAGATGCAAAATCCTCAACAAAATACTAGCTAACCAGTTCTAAAAACATGTTAAAAAGATAATACACCATAATCAAGTGCGTTTTATACTAGGGATGCAGGGGTGGTTTAAGATACACAAGTCAATAAATGTGTTACATTCACATAAACAATTAAAAATCATATGATTACCTCAATAGATGCAGAAAAAGCATTTGACAAAATCCAGCATCCCTTTATGATTAAAACCACAGCAAAATTGACATGCGAAGGACATACCAGTAAACCAAATTCAGTGTGATACATTATATCAACAGAATGGAAGACAAAAACTATATGAACATTTTAATTGATGCTGAAAAATCATTTGATAAAATTCAACATTCATTTTTAAGAAATGCTCTCAAAAAGTTGGGTATAGAAGGAACATAGCTGAACATAATAAAATCCACATACAGCAGACCCACAGCTAGAATCATAGTGAATGGGGGAAAAACTGAAAAAAAGGCTCTCCTCTGAGACTTAGAACATGACAAGGATGCCCATTGTCATCACTATTATTCAGCATAGTACTGAAAGCACTAGCTAGAGCAATCAAACAAAAGAAAGAAAGAAAGGACATCCAAATGGAAATTAAGAAGGCAAATTACTCTTGTTTGCAGGTATGATCTTATTTGGAAAAACCTAAAAGACCCCTACAAAAAACTAGTAAAACTGATAAATTCAGTAGAGTTGCAGGATACAAAATTAACATTAAAAATTAGTAGCATTTCTATATGCCAAAAGCAAACAATCCGAAAAGGAATCAAGAAATTAAGTCCATTTATAATAGCTACAAGGAAAATTAAATTCCTAGGAATTAAGCAAATATGTGAAATATCTCTACAAGGAAAACCATAAAACAATGGTGAAAGAAATTGAAGAGGACACACAAACAAAAGGAAAGATATTCCATTTTCATGGATTGGAAGACTAAATATTGTTAAAATATTCCTACTACCCAAAGCAACCTATGGATGTAATGCAGTTCCAATCAAAATACCTATGACATTCTTCACAGAAACAGAAAAAAAAAAAAAAATCTTAAAATGTGTATGGAACCACAAAAAAACCCACAATAGCCAAAGTTATCCTGACCTGAGCAAAAAGAACAAAACTGGAGGAATCACGTTACCTGACTTCAAATCATACTACAGAGCCATAATTAACCAAAACAGCATGGCACTGGCATAAAAACAGACACATAGACCAATAGAACAGAATAGAGAACCAGAAACAAACCCATACATCTCCAGTGAACTCATTTTCAACAAAATTGCCAAGAACATACATTGGAAAAAAGAACAATCTCTTCAATAAATAGTGGTAGGAAAATGGTATATGTATTCAGAAGAATGAGACTAGACCCCTAGCTCTCACCATATACAAAGATTAAATCAAAATGGATTAAAGAATTAAATCTAAGACCTCACCCTTTATACTACCCCAAGAAAACATTGAAGAAACTCTGTAGGACATTGGAGTGGGCAAAGATTTTTTGAGTAATACCCCACAAGCAGAGGCAATCAAAGCAAAATTGGACAAATGGGCTTACATCAAGTTAAAGACTTCTGCACAGCAAAGTAAACAATCAACAAAGTGAACAGATAACCCACAGAATACGAAAAAAATATTTGCAAACTATTCATCTACCAAAGATTAATAACCAGAATATATAAGAAACCTAAAAAAAATCTATGGGAAAAAAATCTAATAATTAGAAGAGGGGCAAAAGATCTGAATAGACATTTTTCAGAAGAAAATGTACAAATGGCAAACAGGCATATGAAAAGGTGCTGAACATCACTGATAGTCAGATAAATGCAAATCAAAACAACAATGAGATACTATCTCCCCCCAGTTAAGATGGCTTTTATCAGCTGGGCACGGTGGCTCATGCCTGTAATCCAGCACTGTAGGAGGCCGAGGCAGGGGATCACCTGAGGACAGGAGTTTGAGACCAGCCTGCCCAACATGATGAAACCCCGTGTCTACTAAAAATCAAAAAAAAAAATTAGCCAGTGTAATAGCACACGCTTGTAGTCCCAGCTACTCAGGAGGCTAAGGCAGCAGAATCACTTGAACCCAGGAGGAAGAGGTTGCAGTGAACCAAAATCATGCCATTGCACTCTAGCCTGTGCAACAAGAGTGAAACTGTCTCAAAAAGAAAAAAAAAGGCTTTCATCCAAAAGACAGGCAATAACAAATACCGTACTGGTAAGAATATCGTGAAAAGTGAACCCTTATACACTGTTGGTGGGAATGTAAATGAGTGCAACTACTATGGAGAACAGCTTGGAGGTTCCTCAAAAAATTTAAAATAGACCTACCATGTGATCCAGCAATCCCACTGCTAGGGAATCAGAATGTCGAAGAGATATCTGCACGCCTATGTTTGCTGCCGCATTAGTCATAATAGCCAAGATTTATGAGCAACCTAAGTGTCCATCAACAGATGAATAGATAAAAAAAATGTGGTACAAATACACAATGGAGTACTCTTCAGCCATAAAAAAGAATGAGATTCTGTCATTTGCAACAACATGGATGGAACCGGAGGTCATTATGTTAAGTGAAATAAGCCAGGCACAGAAAGATAAACTGCATGTTCTCACATATTTGTGGGAGCTAAAAATCAAAACAATTGAACTTGTGAAAGGAAAATAAATCTTGGGTCCCCTAAATCAGTGAGCTAAAGGGAAGGATCAAGCTGGGAACTGCTTAGGGCCCACCTGCTTCCCATTCAAAGTCATTCCTCTGCTCATTGAGATAAATACATATCTGATTGCCTCCTTTGTAGAGGGTCATCAGAAACTCAAAAGAATGCAACCATTTACTTATCTACCTATGATTTGGAAGTCCCCTCCCAGCTTTGAGTCTTCCTGCCTTTGCTTTGAGTTGTTCCACGTTTTCAAACTTAACCAGTGTTCATCTTGCACTTGTTGATTAATGTCTCTTGTCTCCCTAGAATGTATACAACTAAACTGCTCTGACCACCTTGGGCACATGTCGTCAGGACCTCCTGAGGCTGTGTCACAGGTGCATGTCCTTAACCTTGACAAAATAAACTTTCTAAATTAACTGAGACCTGGCTCACATTTTCAGGGTTTACAAACTCATGGAGTTAGAGAATAGAATGATGATTACCAGAGGCTTGGAAGGGTAGTGGGTGGGTTGGGGAGGGGGTTGAAAAGGGGAATAGTTAATGGGTACCAAAAAATAGAAAGAATGAATAAGACCTAGTATTTGCTAGTACCCACAGGGTGACTATAGTCAAAAATACTTTAATTGTACATTTAAAAATAACTAAATGTGTATAATTGGATTGTTTTTAACACAGGTGAGGCAATGGATACCCCATTTACCTTGATGTGATTATTATGCATTGTATGCCTATATCAAAATATGTCATGTAACCATATACCTCCACAATAATTAAAAACTTAGATGATGAAAATTCTAGGGTATTTAATATACCTTAATTCTTACCTTTTTCCATAGGGTCCATTTATTGTTTTGATGTGTGCTGTAAACTAAAGTAATAAATATTTGTCTTCAGAGACAGTTCTAAGATAGGCAATGGTATTGCTAAATCCTTCATAGAGACTCTGTAAATTGGAAGAATTGTTTCCCCTGTGCCACTCCTCAATTAATCAACAAAGAAAAAATTTCAGGCTATAATATTTTATAACCATATACTTGAAAGAACCAGTTACTAGAAGTCTTAGACAAACTTTTATTTGTTCTCTGAAGCAACAGTCTTTAAAATGAAGGGGTGTGCAAGATAAAGCCTTATGATGCAAAGTAATTGTTAACATTTCTATTTATATTTATTCACTTTTGAATCTAAAAATTAGGCATTTATGGATTTATTGTTTAAAAAAAAAACATTGAATCCTTATGTTTCTGTCAGACAGGCAGACACTTCTCAGGTACAGGTCTTGAGGTCTCCTGAGTGGGGAGCTGGAAGTCTGCAATTAGAGGGCTGATTGTTAACACCCTAGTCAATTTCCTTGTTTTCTGCTATGAATATTTTGCAGTTTGCATATACTTCATCAGTTTGCCCTACAGATTACATATTTCTAAATTTAAATTAACTTTGAAAAAACTTAGACTACACCACCTGCTATCCTTAGCCATGAAATATACCTAGAGACCTTGAAATATAAATGCCATCAATATAGTGATAGTTTCTTTTTTCTTACTTTAAAAAATGTTTAGCTGGACACACTGGCTCACGCCTATAATCTTAGCATTTGGGGGTCGAGGTGACAGTATCGCTTAAGGACGGGAGTTCAAGACCAGCTTGGGCAACACAAGGAGACCCCCATTTCTACAAAAAATTTAAATAAAAATTAGCTAGTCAGGCTGGTGTGTGCCTGTAGTCTTACCTACTTGGGGGTCTGAGAAAGGAGGGTAGATTGGGCCCAGAACTTTGAGATTACAGAAATTATGATTGCACCACTGTCCTCCAGCCTGTGTGACAGAGCAAGACCCTGTCTCAAAATACAACAATATATGTATTTATGTAAGTTAGTTACTTCTATGGGATAGTGTGCTCACAAGTGTTTTACCATGGACATGTGATGTAAAAAACAATATTGCTCTAGGGACTAGGGTGGACATTTATGAAAAAGCTAGTTTCTCTTTATTTCTATCATTTTATAGTAGACTGTGCATCAAGTTCTCCTGGGTGTACTTGTTAAAAGGCTGATTCCTTGGCTCTCCTGAGACTCACAGATAAAAAATCTTTGGAGGTGGGGCCCTGAAGTCAGTATGTTAAACAAGTAACCTAGATGAGTTGTGCACCCCAACATTTAAGAACCACTGCTTTGGATGATGTTTAAGTAGTTCAGCAATTATTTCCCCCCATTATTAACTCTCAACAATTCCTGAGCCCATTTATACCTATATTAAAATTAAGGTATTGTAAAAACTCAACTGAAGGTAGCTATCTGAAGGTATTTTTGAATTCTTGTTTCTCTTGAAAAAGTTTCATCTCCTGCTAAAATGTTGTTGACAGAAAAAATCAGTCTATTTGTTACGTGCTCATGCACTGTGTTAGTGTCTAGTTTACCTAAAGCTACTGGGAAGCTAAAAAAAACACCTTGCTGAGTCAGCAAGACTAGATGCAAAACTGAATTTAGAAGACAATACTCATAAATGTAAGTTTAAACCTTCATACAGACTTCACAGCTTCAAGTAAAGCTGAGACAAGCAAAGTGCCATTAAGGGGGTAGAGAGTTGGCTGGGTTAACAAAGATAATTCTGTGGATATTATATCCCAGTGTATGTGTTTTTAAGGAGTTTTTGGTTGCAAGTAACAGAAGCAAACTCAAAACAGCTTAAACAAAAGTATTGTGAGGATGCTGAGTTTCTTATGGAGAGGAGAAATTCAGCCAAGTCTGAGGGAAGGGTTTCAACAAGGAATTGTCAGGGAGCTGTGCATCTTCAGTTTCTACGTTTCTACTTATTCGCTCCATTTTTTCATAGTTTGACTTTCTCTATTCCTTAATTTGGTTGAACTTGGTGGCCTTGCACCTCAGACGCTTACATGTTACAGGTGCGTGATGAAACTAACTCAATGCTTTCCATGCCCAATCCAAATTATTGGTGAAATAATTAGATTTGCCCAGTTACAACTCTGTGCTGATCTTTGGTCTAATTAGCTGCAGCCAGGATGGCCACGTCATATAGTTGAACATGACTGCCAGGGGCTAGCCCTGTGGATCAAGGAATGTTTATATGGGGAGTCTGTAGAAAAAACAAAAGTCTTATTCACTCATTGACTAGACACAAATCCCTATTCTTAGGAGCTCCAAATGTGTAATTTTGTGGAGCCTACACACCTATCCACCCACCCACTCAAGACTGGGACCTGGGACTCCTGTTGCATATCATTTTATTAAACATCTAAAATTGAGTAAATTATGAACGTTTTTTTTTGTAAGCAAAAGTTTCTTATTAAAAGAATAAAATGACTGTCTTTGTGTGCAGTATTTATTTCAAATGTTTGTTAAAACAGCATTGTTATTTCTCATGAACTGTATTTTATTACTAGAACACTTTAAACTTGGCTCTGATTGTTAGACTGATCTTTGTGGATGGATATCAGACCTGATGTGTGCCTAGCTGTCATAGTAGAAGGATGAATTTCCCCTATTTGCTGACAGTATTCCTTTTTAC